AAAGAGCGTAATGGAATCTCTCTTAAACAGAATCAATATAGTCACTGAAAAACAGCAAATAGTCATGCTTATATTGATTTTATAATCAGTTATAAATAAAGTACTGAAATCTCACTGAAAGAATCAATTAAAAGTAACGGCTGTTTCTATCAGCGATATTTAAAAAAATGCGCGTCTTATATTATTATAATATTAATATTACATATGAGATAAATTTATAGCAATATATATAATTTTGTTAAAAAAAATATCTGAATTTTTGATCAAGAGTCTTGTTCACATCATTTTTTGTGAATTTATCACATATTAAAATAAAATTTTGCTGTTATAATTAGTTGGAGATAAAATGTGAAATACTCACTAATTTTCGGCGAAATCTTGTATCATCGCTTTAATCAATGATATTTTCACTGATTCAGTTTAAGAGACACCGGTAATGACGGATTAGGATGGAGGGATGATATCAAGTATCAGATACACGCAAATACATACAGGGATAATCGATGCTCGGTTTTGCTGTTGGGTGTTTAGATGCCGCCAGCGACACCAAGAGACTGAAAACAACGAACCTGTGATTGTGATCCAGGGTGGAGTGATCCGCCTTTGGCGCCGAGGATACCAACGCGTGCGACGCCAACGCATGTGCATGCGGGCTGAGACCGGGATGCGGCGGCATGAGGCTCGTCGGCGAAAACCGGTAGAGATCACTGAAAGATCAAGAGCACAGTCTATAAATTGAGAAAAATCTCATTTCTTTCATCGTGCGCTAAAATGACGGGACGAGTAGCTCGTTTGCTATCTCGCTCGTAATACGAGGTATACTTTTACTGACCTTGATAAACTGGAACTCGTGATGGGTAAACTCGTGGGATATGGACTCCGGAAGCCGGCATTCGCCGGCGAGATGGGGTACATGCTCGGTGTGTGCCTGTAAATATTTATCATTGCAAGTTATCATCATCGTTATACGTGCGAGAGACATTTTCCCGCATAAAATATTTTCCCGATATTCGAAAGCCAGCTAAAGAAATTTTCTCGAATTGATCGATCCGCTCGTTTCCATATCCATGGAAAAATTTATACAACAATTGTACAAGGATTTCTGTCTATAAAACTACGTATAAATACGATCTGCTCGGATAAAAACCCTTATCGCGTTACGTTTCTAATGAGAAAAAGAAATTAAACGAATCAAATGAAAAGGAAGAAAAGAGATAAATAAAAATAAAGAAAAGAATTATTTTTAATTATCACTTGAGTTGGTTCGAGTTATATTTCCGATCAAATGACCAAACTAAAATATTGATCGTGATACGACATCACGAGTGACTCGTCGAGCGGGAACGTTGCAATATCTGTATGCAGTATCGACACAGTTAATTAATTATCATTAACACCGCGGGCCACCGACTCGTAATAGTAATTAGTACGTGCCTCTTCGCGAACGCGCTGCTCGCGCTCTCATTGCCAAGAACATAGAACCCAGACTCTACACTTTGCGTAATAATAAAAACGCTGCCGACCTTCTCATTATCGCAAGTGGTCCTCTCCCGCGTTTCATCTCCCCCCTCTCCCCTTCCTTCCCTTCTTCTTTTCAAGCCACTCGTACTGAAAACCGCGAGAGCGGAATTCCGTACGCGCGATGTCGTCGATATTTCTTCAAGCGCAAGCTGCCCGTCTCGAGCCAGCGAGGACCACCGTAAGTCCTTTCTAATTGAGAAGAACAGGGCCTAATCACCCGTGGAAAATCGCAATTTGGAGCGACTCGAGCGGAAAGCAAATAACGAGCAGGGGAAACCGCACGAGCGGAGGCTCCGAGCGTAAACCTGATCGTGAGGACCTGTCTCCTAAAGCGAAAGGAGGGTGACATCTACGAGATAAGGCAAGGACGACGAGATTCCGTATCCGAGAGGTTCCGTATCGGATCTAATAGACCGGAACTGAGAGGATGACCGCCTCGACCAAAGCCGTCGAAATATCGCCGTGCGATGGATATGTCAAGATTTTCTACGGAAAACTGGACCTGAATGCGAACGCGTCGCAATTATTTGTACGTTTTATTTCGAGGGTCCTCGATTAGCGATATATAATAAAACGCGGTAGCCGTTAAACGAAAGGTCGCTTTTAGGCGTCGCGTGCTCCGAGTACTCGTTAGTAACGAGAGAGGGAATTAACGAGAGCAGCATATCCCGAACCGGAGAAATCCACCGACGACGTTTATCATGCAAATTCGCACACTTTACGTTAAAAAAGAATTCACCCCAAAGGGAAAAATTTATCAAGGCAATGGACCGGCCACGTGATGTTTCTCCCCTGTATATTTTTTTCTGATACTTTTATGAATATTTAGCTATCTTTGTGCACAATTCGCGATGCACAATTTGCGTCGAGTGTTCGAATAATTTTAACATCGCCAAGGACCGCATCGGCGATGTGATCGAAATCCGATGCTCTTCACTACTTTTCATTTGCGTTTACTGCAAAGCGCAAATCAATTCGTGTAATCGTGTAATTAATATAAAATATGATATAACGCGTATATATATCCGGAAATGTGTGTAAAATGATTCTTGTTCTATGAACGCCGTGCGCGCGCGCGCGCGTTTATCTCGCGAAATTGAATATCGCTCTGATCCCATCGCGTATTCGGTCGAATATATATCTGTCTGTAATTAAAATTGTAATAATATTACGTAATATTTTGTTATACGGATCCAATCGCAACATAGCACAAATGTAATTACATCAAAATTAAATTAAAATTAGAGCTTCCTCATTTATAATATTATGGATTATATATTTTTATATAGATTTGGCGACTAATCGTTTCAAAGAGAAATGAGAACACTTTATAGTATAAAATACCGAGATAAATGAATCTTGAATAAGCGTCGACTTACCAGGAAGCGACTTGCGTCATTTCTGGACTAAGCATGGGATATGGATACTGGCCCGTCGAGAAAGGATACATCGGCGCCCTCGTGAGACCTGTAACAAAAAATTATTCCTGGTTCAGTCAAATGATCGACAAAGCTCTTTCTTCCGCTTCGTTCAATCATATACAAAATTCTATTCTACAATCGTGTATATTCAGATTTTTCCTTTATGCAAACTCACGAAATTTCTATTTTTGCCGTTTATAATCTCTTTCGTGTCAAGCGTGTCCGCGTCATTTCCGTTCTTATGTATGTTATTTCAATCATTGATAACCGAGACTAGCGCAAATTAATGCATCGGGATGTAGAATAAACCGGCCGCATCTCGCACAAGCGATGAACGGCGCCATAACGCGTTTAATCTTTCATTAGCCGGCGGCGTGACCAATTTTACGGTCACTAAGTGATGACGTTCAATTTAATCGCGGTGAGATTGCGAAATCAAAAAAGGCTGAACGGTAACAACGAACGCTCCTGTTTCCGTGATTTGTGCAACGTGCGAATCTCATTACGGATTTTTTTTTTTTCGATTATTTTTAATCGATGAATTCTATATTCTACATGTGAGAACGAAAGTTTCACTTATCGCGCACAGTTCAATAAAAAATAATTCTTTTCAAATCCAAGAAGAAAAGGGAATAATCATTTCCTATAATTTTATCGAGATGCTGAATAATTTTATTTCTTGGATATTATTCTATCAAACTGTTCGAAAGTAAGACAAAATTGATATAGATACGAATGATGCGTGTGACTGTCGTAGAAGTAGCCTTTTTGTTTTTTATTATTACAAATCTCGTAAAAAAATTCTCTGGAAATTTCCTGATTAATTCATGTATTTTTGCTCAACATTTGAGATAAAATTAGAGACATTTTATATACAATTTTTTAAAATAAATTTCTTTACAGCATGCACTTTTGAATGTTTTCTATTTAAAGAAGAAAAAATGAAAATTTCAATTTCAAATGTAAGATTTAAGCAAGTATAGAAAAATGTGCTTTTATAAACCTATTCAGAGATGTGCAAAATGAATGTCCAAACCCATTTAAAATAAAAGATGCAAAATAGTTGGAACTTTTCCATTTGAAAATGCAAAATACAAAATGGTTTTTAAATATCCATTTAAAATAGAAAATAGGTACTTTTAAAATGATTTTTTAAAATAAAAATGGTTTTAAAATATTTATATTCTTATATTTATTTGCTACCTATCTATTAAATAGATTCTATCTATTAAATTATATCTTATCTATCTTTATTCTTATTTCTCACATAAAGTCGCGTCTGGCATCACTGCGTGGTACATATATACATCGTCAGCATAAATGATAACAATGGGTTGGCTACGCACACGGAAGTATAAGCCAGTGTTCGTGTGTGCCCATCTTGATATGCGTTAAGCCTACCATTTCCCACAATAACTAAATTAATGAACATTTATAGATCACTATTCTGTACACGGCTACCGATAGTTGTAGGTTCTGTAAATGTCGTTGCCACGTATTTTGACATATCAAAAAACATGCGCCACGATACTTATAGAACCTACAGCTATTGGTAACCGTGTACTGTATAGAATAGCGCTCTTAATCTAGTATTCGTCTTACAATGAACAAGTGCAATGCAAAAATTGCACAAATATCCTGATTTATCGTTATTTAGAACTATTATCGATATTTCTATATCGATATCAATTTTTTAGTTTGCAAGAAAAATGCATTTGAAATAGAAAATGGGTAATAAAAACCATTTAAATGAAAATGTAAAATAGTTTTTGAAAAAATGTATTTTAAATGCAAAATACAAAATAAGCATTTTACATTTCGTATTTCCATTTTAAATGCATCTGTTTCAAATAATGCACATCTCTGCCCATATTTCACTTATACAATAATTTTGCTTTACCAAGAATTACAATGAAGCTTGTGTATAATACTGAGACATATATCTACAATATATATTTTTTTTTAAATTTACAAATCTTCATAAACATATTTTAAAATAAATATTTATCTGTGTCGAATAGAGTATATAAAAGATATCTAAATCATTGTTTTTAGCATTTATATATCGATTTATTACTCGTAAAGACAATTTGAACAATATACAAAAAAATAATATCACTCTATCTCAATATAATGCAACGTAAAAGCAAAATAATCAAAGAGAGACAACAATCTTCTTAAAAATTCCCTAAATCCAACAATAAAATTCTACGAGAATTTCCTGATTTTAGAAGATAAAAAGAAATCCCTGAGAATTTCAGGTTTTCTAGGTTTTTCCAGGAAATAGATATCCTGTATTATAAATAATTAATATTATTGTTTTATTACAGAAAAGAAGAAGTCTTATACTTTTCAATGCTCCAAGCGCCTCGGCATTTTTATTCGTGCACATTAATGTATACAGAATAAATATTATTACGTCGAGATCAAAGAAACGATGCAATTGAACGAAAAGGAAACTATGCGTTTAATATATCGCATGAGTTTGCACTACAAACACACGAAGCAACAAAGATCGTGCTAACTGTCTGTCTCTTTCTGTCTCTCTCTTTCACGGCAGGAGAGAGCAGGCATTGATCAGCGTGCGCGGCCGCACCCTCTGTAACTAGTACCCGACACGAAGTGGAATGCATACGCCATCGGAATCATCACCCAGAGAATAGTCGTTGATGAAATTTAACACCGTATAACACGTTCGTCCGAACGGACGGATGAACGGTATCGATAACAATCTGATTTTTACATAATTGCGATCGATCAAGTCCACATTACATTAACGGAGTTACAGACAGTTCCGTTAAAAATTTGTTGACAATAGTGTTATTCGTTAATTCGAGATTTTTATCATAAACGATTAAGGGTTATTACAAAATAATTCCTCGCTAAAGACAAGAATAAAATAATAATTTTTTACCATTTCCTGAATTGTTTCTCCGCCCAATATGGAGATTGCACAATTTTAGCAAGAATATACGGGCGGTTCGAACTGAGGATTGCGGTAGTTGAAAAAAGCGATCACTCAAATAACACAAACTAAAATTACGCGGCTATCGTGGGCTGAATAACGGACAAGGTATATGCTTTTACATCGGTATCTAATGTAACTGGTACGTGCCGCGGAACCGATCGCGGCTCCGAGAGAGAAGAGAACGCGCCCGGGGAACGTTGGGCGCGGGTGTAAGTGGGGTGCCTTTGGCGAGGCGAAGTGTAATTGGCTTCATAAGGGTCGACGAGAAGCGCCCGGAGTATCGGCAAGCCTGAAACCGCTTGACGAGGCCAATACGTATCTCTCTCTCTCTCTCTCTCTCTCTCTCTCTCTCTCTCTCTTTTTTCGAGACGGCGCGGGTGTAAGTGGGGTGCCTTTGGCGAGGCGAAGTGTAATTGGCTTCATAAGGGTCGACGAGAAGCGCCCGGAGTATCGGCAAGCCTGAAACCGCTTGACGAGGCCAATACGTATCTCTCTCTCTCTCTCTCTCTCTCTCTCTCTCTCTCTCTCTCTCTTTCCTTCCTTCCCTCTGCCGATTGCCATATTCTCTTTTTCTACTGTCATTCGATTCAGTATACGCGAACGGATTGGATGGACTCTCTCCAGAGCTCGTTCCCACCCCGTTCCTTTTTGCGTTTTGCGGGCGAATATGTCCCGGAGGCATATTCCCCGTGACAATCTTCCCCCCTCGACCCTTCGTGAGCGCGCGCTGAAATCGGTCAACGCGTGGTTTTCCCCGGATAGGGCCACTTCTCAATCCCCGACTGTGTAACGACTGTCGACCGATCGACCGTAAAGAGATCGGCCTTCCGTCTCCGGAAGCCCGATAAATTTGCGCTCGGATAACGAAGCGCGTTTAGACTCGGTGAAAACAATCGGGATTCTAAACTATCGTCCCGCTCTTGGCTTATTAATTGCCCCGTGAAAGGTTAGCCGAAGAGTTCTATCAAAATTGCGATACAATTTAATAGGGAGTAATTTCTAGTAAATATCTATGAGTATATAAATTTTTGTGTTTTTAGCTAGAGATTACTATCGGAGCGGCAAAAGAAAAAAGAAGTACCGTCAGTTTTACGTACCTCTCCTCTATCTTTTTATCTCGCTTTATCGTCATCTCTTATGGAGAAAATTAGAGTTGTTATCCTCTCTGGAAAACGAATACGTTATTTTCATTTTCCGCCGTTATTTGTATAATGCAGACGGAAAAGAATAAAACGATTCGCGACGGCATGCACAAAACGCGTCGATGTTGCGAGCTTTTTTTTTTGTACGATAGAGCTACTTTCGATCTTCGCATAACGACGATTAGCCACTCGACTGTAACGAGACCGGGCTACCACTCAGCCCGGGGCTTTTAATCTCATTTGAATAACGAAGCACTCTCGAGCCCGTGAAAACAATGGCGACCGAAATGAAATTTAATCCCACGTAAAAGTAATAATCCGATATTTTATCTTGCGCGCGTGAATTTGTATGTAGATGTACCGTGTGCAACACGATATATATCCGCCTACGTCATTTCAGGTACGACAATCGTAGCGCAAATTACACATTATGCGAGCGCTCTGATGTTTGAATGTTACATAAGTTACAGCTATTTGCTTCTCACTCATGTACCCCTCTTCATTATCGCCGTTCTAATTACGAGAAAGTTCAAGGTTTAACGTCGTATGATGAGATAATAAAAAAAAATAAAATAAAGACGAGATCAAAGTCTAAAAATTCTAGCATTCAGTGAATTATCGAGCAATCGGCCGGGGACAGACGGGATTAAAAACTAGCAAGGGTAGTCGGGCTTAATCTCGGTTAACGATACGGCGCAAAGGGGACGAGGATGAGCCCGTTGGATGCTGGCTGGGTCGAAACACGCGCCCCGATAAAACCGGAACGCTCTACTATGCGTCTAATGCGATGCCGGGAATTGGGAGCACGATTTACGAAAGAGAGCAAGTGAAGAAAGAAAGAGGGAGAAAGAGAGAGGTAATGAGGAGGGGTGCTCGCGGGTGTGGAGAACAGGGAGGAAAAGAGGAAACGTGAGGAGGATGGCGGATCGGGAAGGGGTGCTTCGTAATATCCTGGCGAGTCCGCGGGTTCCGTCATGTGTGCTTAATCACTTTCCAGTCGACTCGGCAGTCTGCAACCCCATTATCAGCGTTTCACCACCCGGAAAATTACTCTTTTATTCTCGAACAACTCGAGCTCCCGATGTTCCGTGTACCACGTTCCCTTTCTCTTTTCTTCTTCTTCTTCCCGTTTTCGTTTCGCTCTTTATTCCGCCTCCGTCGAGAAGTCGATTTTAACTCGGCCGGTTCTCTTAACTCGCGAATTCTTTTTTCCGACCACATCTCGTAGCTTTTCCCAATCCCGCGCGCGAGCTCGCCTATTTCGCTCTATTAGACTTTACCGTTGTGAATTCTTCCGGTTCCCGGAAACCGGTAGTACGGGCTCGAAAACTGGATGAATGGAACGAGAATGAGAGCGGAAATGGTGAATTAACTCATTGAATTAAGGCGGAAACTAAATTTCATCTATTAATAAATTAAAAAAGAAAAGATTTTGACAACACAACACATATACACTTTGATCTTTCTCTTTTATCTTTGTCTATTGATGTTGATAAAGTTACAAAAAATAAGAAACATGAAATCGTAACAATTCTAGTGTTTTAAGAACGTTTCGAGAAGGGAAAAAAGCGGTAATATAAATTATAATAATATTAAAATTCTAAAATTGAATGCTAACCCTTCACAGAAAAAAATAGAACAATCCTCTCGCGAAGGATTATTCGGCCGAAACGTCGCAGCTGGCAATGACGAGAAATAGGTGGGGTCGTCGACAAGGGGCTTAGCAGGAAGCTCGTACAAGTGCAGACGGTACAAGGTGGTACGTGTTGTTGCGGTTGTTTAGCTCAAAACCGACGCATACAATTGCACCCTTTCGTGCTCTCGCGATATCGATTTTACTCGAGACAAATCAACGCTCGAGACAAATCCAACACCGATATTAATTAAATCGTATCCGGCTAATTAGTCGGTGCTGCTGTTCGACAAAACGCGTTTTTTTTTTTATTAGTTATTGCCTCATAGTTATTTATTATTAATTTGCTTCTCGTAAAATACGTAAATTACCGCCAGAGCAAGTATTTTCGCGATTGGAGTCAAAATTACTCTAGGAAGACTGCAAAAATGAGGAAGCGAATCGATCTTATTCATTGTCGAGAGTTGTAGAGCGCGGAGGCTCGCGCGAAAAGAATTCGCGATGCGGAAAAAGAACTAGGAAAGAGGAACGAGAGGAGAAGAGTACACGGACATCGGAGAGGCTGGAGGAGGAGGCGGACGAAGAAGGGAGAGAAGAGAGGAGAAAGAGGGGGGACACGAGATGGGAGAAGAGAGAAATTAAGCGGATCAATGGCGAAGCCCCGGTGAAACGAAACGTCGGGACGCGGTCGCGTCGGCAGCCATCTCCACCCTCTTTACATCTTGCCCTCTTCCGCCTCACCATCTCCATCACCACACCCTCTCCTTTCCCCTCGCCGATCTATCAGCACGTTCTTCACCATGGAGTTTTGAAATAAATACAAAGAGATCGAAAAACAAAGCTAATTAGAAATATATCAGAAACAAGAGAGAGAGAGAGAGAGAGAGAGAAAAAGAGAGAGAAGATGAATAGCGAGAAGAGAATGGAAGATATCGAACAAGATAAAGAACAGAGCAAATGAGATGCGGAGCAAAAGAGGACGAACGGAGAGAAAGAGAAATTGGAAACGTTGGCATTCGAAAGGTGGTTCGAGATCTCGGAAGTGGAGAAGGGGAGGAGAAAGATCGTCGTTCCGGAGCAGTCGAGGAGGGGAAGCAAAGCGGAGTGAAGTTGAGTCTCGATTCATTCCGCGAAGAGACGAAACGCTACCCTCGTTTGCAAGACAAAGAACCCGACCCGCCGCGCCGTGGTCGTGTGCATAAACGTTATCAACAATATTTACATACTCCGAGGTCTCTAAGGGGGATGAAAAATATCGCGCGCGGGAAGGAGCGAGAACGTGTCGACAAAGCCGTAGAGAAAACTCGTGGAGTTTCGTACTGCGAGAACAACGCGATGAAAATCATGTCTTGAGATAAGTTTGATTTGCAGAAGCAAACGCATCAAGCTCTCCGAGGGATAACGCTACTTTGAAACTTCTCCTCAAGGTCACGCCGGCGTACCGATGGTAGAATCTTCGCGATGATTACAAGTTGACAGAAGGGAGAAAGCATGCTGGGAGAGGGGAAAGGATCGAGGGTAGAGCAGGTAGAAGCGGAGAAGCTGTACAGAAGCAGAGAGGGCGAGTGGAAACCCCCTTGACCCAGCGCTAGAAGGGAGTCGCATGCTCGGCTGATTAGCCTAATGGTGAGTCCTCTTATTCTCGTACTTGACGCCAATTCGCGATTCTCTCTCTCTTTCTCTTTCCCAAAATGCCTGTTTCTCTCTTTTCGGAGAGGTTGTACCGTCCTCTTTACAGCCCCCATTTAAATTTCGACATCGCCGTGACTCTTGACTTGATAAGAAATATTCCTTTATTTAGGAGTATCGACGCTTGCACATCTATCGGCCATTTTTTAACTCGAGAGCAGTCTAATCGAGAATACGCTTGCGATTAACCCAAGGGAGAAAGAGAGAGGATGCAGAACACGGAGACATTTCCATGTTTCTGCATTTTCTGCGTTCGCATTTTTGGGGAGATTTTTAAATGCTTAATACCTGAAGTAGTATCTATATAAATCACTTTATGCACTGTGAATTTGTGTAATTTGCTGTTTCGTCTATCAAATCGCAGTAACAAAGATTAACGTACGTTACACGTTAACGGTCGCAAACGCGGTTTGTGCAAAAGCCGAACTCGCTCGGCGGCAGATTACAATGGTTACGTTAATATTTGCATAGCTCGGTACAATAAAATTATATATAAAACGATTCTCTCTCTCTCTCTCTTTTAGGCGAAGCATGTCGATTACACGCAAGCGAGACGAAAAGTATTCATCAATTACAATTGAAGAGGAACGTCAATATTTGGCCGGACAATAGCGGATTAACTTCGTGAAAGAATTGTTGATTCAACCGATACGCGTGAAGAGGGAGGGGGGAGGATCAGGATGATACAGAGGTAGTTCAAAGTTTACATCGAAAGTGCATGCGTCAAATGAAGTTTTATTATATTATTAGCGGCTGTATATTTACGTTTCTGCAAATGATAAGTAAACGCGATTGATGTTTAAAGCTGCAATCTGTGCCTATTGGCTTCACATTTTAGTTCCGTGTAAACACTCTATTTTTTTCTTCCTCTCTCTTCTTTTACAACACAAATTAGATAAAAAATTATTCGAATTTTTATTCGATTTATAAATGAAAATTAATATCACAAAGTTGCGATAATTTTATGATAATTAAAAGTCATATCAACGATATTCAATCTAAAAATTCTTAGTCCTAGTATCTTCCAAATAAATAAGTGAAAACTTATCTTATATATCTACGAGAGCAACAACCTACCCTAGTAGATTTTATTAAATTTATGAAGTACGACAAGAAAATACCGAATCTACCTCCAACGAAAGCCAAATACATCAAATATAAAGCATTTTATTAATTTCTTGCAAAGGCACGTTATCTTTTTAGTAATTTGTATAAAGAATTCAACATAACATTAAATTATAATAAATTATAAGTTATTATATTATAACATAAGAATTATATTAAATTATAAATTATTACGGCACGAGAAATTTAGATTGTCAAACAAATCACAGAAAGCAACAACTAATCATCGCGAGAGAAAAGATTACCGAAAAAATTAGATGAAGATTGAAACTTGTTGCGGTAAAAAAATGTTTCTAGGGATGCGTGAGTGATGATCAACAGTACTTACCGGCCGCGGCAGCCGCTTTGCCAGCGTCCAGCGCCCCGTAGGGTGGTATGCCCATGTGGGCGGGAGGTGGTTGCGTCAGATGGTCTCCGTTAGGGCAAAAGAAGGGCAGCCCGCTCGGATGCGTCCCCGCCAAACCTGCCATCTTGCTCGCCTGTAAAACAACAGAGTAAGCGAATTAATGCACTGAATATACACATATCTTGCCATATATTGGATTTTCTGTTTGTTAAAATATATGTTTTGCAGATTTTTTTCGTAGTCAGCCTCTTTATAAAAACGTCGGATCTCTGTGGAGTCCAACATTTTATAAAAAGCGCAAATTTCTCGTAAAAAGAATCTGTGATATATCTATATTTTGATGAGAGAACAATTAATATATAATTTCACTATAAATTAAAGAGAAAATACTACGGGGTGATTCAGATAATTATCATGTTGCTACATTATGATATATTGTATTATAAAATGCAAAAAAAATATGTGGAATATTTTTAAATTCCTAATACACACACACACACACATCTACTAATGCATTATAAATATAGTAATCTATATAATAAGTATTAATTGGACGATCCTTCTCGCCAGCAATCATTAATCGTTATCCTAATGTTGATAGTAATCGCCTGTTTATCCGTTGCTTACGGTACTATGCTGCTTTATCGCGAGTCTGCATATAACGCATGCGTGATATAATATATATGTATACACGTTTGAGAATTCCTATCACATGACCGTGTTTAGATACCGCGGTAATGTCAACGGCGTGAAAGGCGCAAGGATAACACCGAGGACTTACAGTTCACGACTCTCAAAAGAAACGCGATATCCATCAATTCGATTCGCCTCGAGGGGGAATGCTTATCGAGGACCAGCTCGAGCGTTAATTTGCAAAGACGGGACATGAAGAGAGGAGAAATGTACTCCTCGAGGGTTCGTTCGACCTTTCCGTTCGCGTATCGTCGGATTCGAGTGCCCTTCTCGAGGCATAGCAGTGTAATCCGCCCACTACTTCTTTAACCCTCCGGTCGCTCTTTGTCAAGTGACAGTCGATGAAATTAGTTCAATCTGTTCGCAAACTCGAAGGATTGCGCGTGATTCATCCCTTCTCTCTCGTCTCACTTTTCTATGTTTTTTTCACGCTTTCCCTCTCCCTCTCTCTCTCTCTCTCTCTCTTTTCATTCTTTAGCTCCCACCCCTCGTCTCGTAAACGATCGATATAGAGGCTCTCGAGCGGGTTGTCTCTTATCAGCCGCTTACCATAAGTGCAGCGGTATCGCGCATCGATCTGACCGCCAGCAAGAGTCCTGGATCGAAGGGTTCCCTCTCCATCCAGGTCAGTACCCTCGAGAGTAGTCCGACAGCCTCCTCAGCCGTAGGCTCCTCCTCGTCGTTGTCTTCCTCGACGCCGTCGTTTCCGTCTTCATTTTCATCGCCATTGCGTTCCGACCATTTGTCATCCGCCTCGATCTTCACCCGACATCCTTGCTGCTCTTCGTCCGGCTCCCGCTTCCTGACAAAACGCGCCAAAGCGCTCTCCTCGTCGACGATCCACCTGCCTAGCTCCTCGTCGTCGACTTCCAGTCCAGCCTCCCTTGCAAGACTCTGCAGCTCGACGAGCAGCATCCTGTCTTCCTCCTGATCCACCGCGTGGATTCTGGATGGCAAAATGGCGCCGTTACGTCCCGCTAACGAGTGATCGTCGCGATCTCGCGGCAACGTCCAGCTACGAGCAAAAGTGTCCGACCGAACGCTTAGCCAGGCGCGATGGAGATCCGCGAATGCTTCCTTCAACGTAAACCATTTCAGGTACGCGTCCAACCGATGATCGGCCATTTCCTCGCTCGAACTCGAAAAGACTTTGTCGCGATAAACGCCGCAGCGTGCCTTAGACAGTAACCCGGTGGCTAGTCGCACTCTCAGCTCTCGGATCACCAACCGTGTTTCCATGCAATCCTTGGGCACCACAAACAGCCGCACTAGGCCGTCCGCGGCGACGCAGTCACCCTCCGGTGGCAGGTAATCGGCGCTCTCGGCCACCAGCACGGCGCCATCCGGATGCATCGCCATCGCTGTAACGGCAAACTCGTGATGGAACCACCAGAGAAAGAGATCGACGGTTAAGGAGCCCCTACCGCCACCAGCGTATACCACCGGCTGGCTCAGCATGTTGACCTTGCGTAAGCAACGTGGCCGCCAGTGACGTCCGGCCACCAACAACCGCGTCCGATGATGACCCTCGTGATCCGCCGCCCCCACCACCCACACCCGTTCGCTGCTCCTCGTAGCGTCGCGACCTCCGCCACGCCGTTTACCTGGCAGATCCCGCCAGTCCAGGTAGCAGACATGGGCGAGATAGATCCGACCGCGTTCGTAATTTTCAAGGACATTTCTCAGCCTCTCGAGGGCGGATGAGGACGGATGCGCGGCGCCATGATCGCCGACGTAGCCGCGCGGAGTGGTCGTCGTCCGGCAGGACGCCGAAGACGTGGACACGGGGGAGGGAAACGGTGACGTGGTAGACACGGTGGTCGAGGAGGTAATCGTCGCAATTTCCGTCGCTCCATGAGTCGCCGCTCCGCTGTCGCTGTCCTGCTTTGTTCCCGCGGCGTTCCGCTTCCGCTTTGCGGCCGCTGGCTTGATCGCTAGCGGATCGCTCGTGACCGACGACG